GTGCCATTGGCCGCCGAAGGCACCTCACCGTCCACCTCTTCGGCACAGGGCGATTCGGTTGCGGTGCCGCCTCCCTCTTCCCAAGAGGACTTTAAAGCAGCCCCCAGGGTATTTACAAAATGTATGGCGGTGGTGGCAGCCCACCTCAGGAGGAAAGGGCTGCAGATCTTCCCCTACCTCGACGACTGGCTGCTCAAGGGCCGGTCTCACGCTCTGGTGCAACAGCAGACGAGCTTCCTGCTAGACACCTGCGGAGCTCTAGGCCTACTGGTAAACGAGGAGAAATCCACGTTAATTCCGGTTCAGTGCATAAGCTTTATAGGGGCGCTGTTAGATTCCTGGGTGGCCATGGCCTCCCTCCCACGGGACAGATTTGAGACGCTCAAAGCTCTCATCGCCTCAGTCATGGACTTTCCAGTAACCACGGCACGGGTGTGCCTCCAAATCCTAGGCCACATGGCAGCTTGCACCTATGTGGTGAGACATGCCAGGCTTTGGATGCGGCCCCTTCAGCTCTGGCTGGCCTCCCGGTATTCCCAGGCCAGGGACGGCCTGGACAAGGTGGTCATGGTGCCACCAACGGTGGTGGCAGACCTCCAATAGTGGTCCCTCCCGAGCAACATGCTTCAGGTTATTCCCTTCCGAGAGCCCCCTCCCTCACTAGATCTAGTGTTGGACGCCTCGGACCTGGGCTGGGGAGCCCACGTGGGGGATTTCAGGACCCAGGGTATGTGGTCCCCAGAGGAACTAACCCTGCACATAAATGTCAGGGAGCTCAGGGCCGTACGCCTGGCGTACGTGGCATTTCGCCAGCACATACAAGGGATGGTGGTCAGAGTCCTCACGGACAACACGACTGCCATGTATTACGTCAACAAGCAGGGGGACACGCGTTCCCGGGCCTTATGCCAGGAAGCCCAGCTCCTGTGGGAGTTTTGTATAGCCCACAATGTACTCCTGCGGACTGTTTACCTGCCCGGCAAGAGCAACACGCTCGCGGACTGCCTGAGCAGGGTATTCTCCCAACATCACGAGTGGTCCCTGCACAAGGAGGTGGCCAGGTGGATCTTCCTACAGTGGGGTGCTCCCCAGGTAGACCTGTTCGCCACCGCCCAGAATCGACAGTGTCCTCGATTCTGCTCCAGAGCAGGAGACGGCGACGGGGCGCTATCGGATGCATTCCTGCTCCCATGGTCGGGGCCCCTGTTGTACGCCTTCCCCTTAATAGACAGGGTCCTACAGAAGTTGAAGTCAGACAGGGCGAGGATTATCCTCATAGCCCCGGATTGTGCCTGTCAGCATTGGTACGGGTCCCTGCTGCAACTCTTAGCAGCCCCTCCTTGCAGGCTGCCGCTACGCCCGGACCTCCTCTCCCAGGACGAAGGTCGTCTCCTCCACCCCAACCTGGCCCCGCTCCACTTGACAGCGTGGCTGCTCCACGGTTGAATGAGGAGGAGGGGAGGTGTTCTGAGGCTGTAAGAAGGGTCCTGCTGGAGAGTAGGAAACCCTCCACGCGACGGACCTACCTGGCTAAGTGGTATCGGTTCTCTATGTGGGCGAGGGATAGAGGTTCCTCTCCCTCTTCCGCGTCTATCCAGCTTGTCCTCGATTACTTCCTGTCCCTTAGGACCCAAGGCCTGGCGCCCTCCTCCATCAGGGTGCACCTGGTGGCCATTTCGGCTTTCCACCCCCCGCTGCAGGGCCTGTCGGTATTCTCGCATCACATGACGGCCCGGTTTCTGAAAGGGTTAGATCGGGCATTCCCTTATGCCAGACCCCCGGTCCCGCTCTGGGACCTGAACCTGGTGCTCTCCCGCCTTACAGGGCCTCCCTTTGAGCCTTTAGCCACGTGCTCGTGGTCCCACCTGTCGTGGAAGGTGGCATTCCTAGTGGCCATCACCTCAACCCGCCGGATCTAGGAGCTCAGGGCCCTGACTTCTGAACTGCCGTATACGGTTTTCCATAAGGACAAGGTTCAGCTCCGCCCTCACCCTGCTTTTGTGCCGAAGGTAGTCTCGGCTTTTCACATGGATCAGGATATTTTCCTTCCGATCCTCTGTCCTAAGTCGCATTCCTCTAATGAGGAATGCCGCCTGCACATGTTAGACGTGCGCAGAGCGCTGGCCTTTTACTTAGACAGAACCAGGCCATTTAGGAAGCCCCCCCCCCCCAGCTTTTTATTGCTTCGGCCGAGCGCATGAGGGGGCGACTGGTGTCCACCCAGCGGATCTCCCGCTGGATCACCTCGTGCATTCACACCTGTTATGACCTGGCAGGGGTTCCCCCGCCTCCTATTGTGAAGGCCCATTCGACGAGAGCCCAGGCCTCGTCAGCGGCCTATGTGGCTCATGTCCCCATTCAGGACATCTGTAGGGCTGCTACGTGGTCCTCTGTCCACACCTTCTCCTCTTACTATGTGATCGTCTCCCAAGCAAGGGATGACGCCGGGTTTGGTAGGGCGGTGCTCTGCCCGCGTAACCCTTAACACTTATCATTTAGAACTCCTACCCACCTCCATCAGGTGTAGCTTGGAGTCACCTATAGTGGAATACACATGAGCAATCACTCGAAGTAGAAAGGACAGTTACCTGTTCCGTAACTGGCGTTCTTCGAGATGTGTTGCTCATCTGTATTCCACGTCCCGCCCTCCTTCCCCTCTGTCGGAGTCGTCTGGCAAGAAGGAACTGAGGGTGGGGGGAGCACGCAGCCCCCTTTATGGCGCGATATGTTGGCGCCACTCCAGAGGTCGCAGCGGTGCTCCCCCTCTACGGATACTGCTAAGGGAAAAACTTCCGGCACCGGTCACGTGGCGAGCATGCACACCTATAGTGGAATACACCTGAGCAATACATCTCGAAGAATGCCAGTTACGGAACAGGTAACTGTCCTTTGCCAGAGATAGACTTGTTCGCTACCTACCAGAACAAGAAATGTCCACCTTATTGCTCCAGAGTGGGGATCTGACGACACTCCAAGGGAGATGCTCTCCTCATCCATTGAAACAAGTGCCTTCTTTAGGCTTTTCCTCCATTCCCTCTATTGCTAAAGGTGCTATTGAAGATAAAAAGGAAAAAGCAAACATTCTGATTGCCCCCACCTGGCCCAGACAGACATGATACCCTTCCCTGTCCAAGCTGGGGTTGTGTCCACCGGTGACCCTACAGATCACTCCCTACCTTCTGTCACAGAATGAGGGTTGCACCCTTCATCCCTATCCACGGTCCTACATCTGAAAGCATGGCTCCTTCATGGTTCCAGCACATAGAGACATCCTGCTCAAGGAGGCACAGGAGGTACTAATGCACAGTAGGAAAGGTGCTACTCATCGCACCTACCTGCAGAAATGGAAGGGATTCCGGATATGGGGCCAATCCAAGGATGTCATCCCTAATTCAGCCACCTTGCTGGTCATCCTGGACTCTCTGTTATCCTTAAAGAAATCGGGTCTCTCTATTAGCTCGCTGAAGGTTCACTTGGCAGCAATTGCAGCCTTCCACCAGCAGGTAGAATGCTACTCAGTCTTCTCTCACCCGATTAAGAAGAGGTTTCTAAAAGGTATAGCAAACCTCTTCCCACAATCCAGGACCTCTACTCTGCAATGGGACCTCAACCTAGTGCTAAAGGGATTGACTAGACCACCATTCGAACCCATGGCCACTTGTTCATTAACTCACCTTTCCATGAAGATGGTGTTCCTCATCGCCATCACTTCAGCCAGATGGATAGGGGAGATAGCAGCTTTGATGGCACATCCCCTGTTTACAGTGTTCTTCCCGGACAAGGTCACACTCAGAAGTTCACTCCCAAAGTAACTTCTGCATTTCACATAAATCAACTCATTCAACTCCCAACAGTCTATCCAAAAACCTCATATGGACAATAGAGAAGCTATCCTGCATACACAGAGCTTTGGTCTCCTACTTACACAGTAGAAAGGTCTTCCGAAAATCTGAGGCTCTTCCTATCAGTTGCAGATAGGTCAAAGAGTGCAGCAATCTCAGCTCAGAGACTATCCAAGAGAGTCTCTGGCTGAATTAAACTCTGCTACCAGTTACGGGAGGTAAAACCCTCATCTTCAGTATGCACGCATTCCACAAGGGTAGTCTCCTCATCAATCGCCTTCTCTAAAGGTATCCCCATATCAGAGGTATGCAGAGCAGCTACATCGTCCTCTTCACATACCTTCGTAGAACACTATGCCATTCTGAGTGATTCGGCTTCAGACGCCCAATTCAAGGCCTCTGTACTATCATTTGTATCAGACTCTGAAGTCCCAGTTTCCAGTGATGGGTACTGCTCAGGAGTCACCTACAGTGGAGTACCATAGGGACACTACTCGAAGAAGAAGAGGAAGTTACTTTGTGCAGTAACGATGGTTCTTCAAGATGTGTGTCCCTATGGGTGCTCCACAATTCTCCCTCCTCCCCTCTACTTCGGAGTTTCCACTGGTTGACTCTGCGGTAGAGAAGGAACTGAGGGAGAAATGCCTCTGCACGCCAGCTAGCCTCGTGGCAGGCAGGGAGCTGTGCAGGCAGGACAGATTGCTATTGGAATTCTCCAATCAACAGCGTGGGGGTGCAAACATACCTACAGTGGTGCACCCATAGGTGCACACATCTCGAAGAACCATCGTTACTGCACAAAGTGAGTAGGGCGACTAGACGCAAGTGTGAAAAATCGGGACGGGGGTGGGGGCTAATAGGAGCCTATATAAGAAAAAGACCCAAAAATCAGGACTGTCCCAATAAAATCGAGACATCTGGTCACCCTAAAGGTGAGTAACTGCTTCTTCTTTGACATATGTTGTGCACATATATGTTCCATGACTCTCCCACCTTCTACTTCAGACATAGGTGCTGGAACTAGGTGTGCTGGGGGTGTTGCCGCCGCACCCCCTGGCTTGAAGTGGTTTCCATTGTATACAGGGTTTACAGTTTGGTTCAATGGCTCTCAGCACCCCCACTATAAAAATTGTTCTGATACCCCTGACTTTGGACACTACATACAGCAGTGTGAAGGAACGGAGAGGGAGGTGGTGTCATCTGGGAACCTGAGCAGCACGGAGGCCCATGCACCACCTAGTGCTACTGCTGGCAAAAGTCTCCAGCTCGAGTGCATTGGGACATGTCCATCTGCAGTGGAATGTATATGTGCACAACACATCTTAAAGAATTACAGGTACTGCATAGGTAAGTAGCCACTTTTTCACAGGAAGGTGGGTGTTAAACTATTCCTGCACTAGCTTGCTGCATTCTGTGTCTCTGTGCACCCTGGTGTGATGCACAATAACAGTTCATTAATTTGCTTTGATCTAGTCCTTTTTCAAAGAGAACTAGATTTAATGAGCATCAGCAAGGTCCACACAAACAGTGAGCATGTGGCAGACTAGCATGGGGTAGATTCACACCCCAGTTTGCCATAAACTAAATGTTCTTGTAGACTGGTCCCTACATCAACGCTATTGCTTTTATCAACCAAACTTTAATCTCATGAAAAAAAGAGAGAGTGTCAAATTAACAATCTATTTTCCATAAACCTGTGTTGATTGGCATTAACTTTATTACCCTCCTTTAGTTCTTTATTAATCAAGTTTCCTATCAGCCATTCTGTTATTTTGCCTAAGACTGATGGCAGACTGACAGGCCTATAATTACCCAGGTAATCCCTTTTATGCTTTTTAAATATTGGCACAAGATTAGCTTTCTTCCAGTCCTCTGAAACTTCCCCAGTGTGCCAAGAAGCTCCTCAGACAGCTCTTTTAAAACTCTTGAATGCAAGTTATCCAGATCTGCTGAATTAAAAATGTCTAACTATAATAGCTTGCTGGTGTTTAACATCCTCCTTAGTTATGTTGGAATTGGAAGTATTTCATCATCATCATATATGACTACATTATCTGGCGTTTTCCTAAATATAGAATAGAAATATTTATTCAACAGTTCTGCCTTTTCTGCTTTATTATTGATAGTTCTACCATTTCTGTCTAGTAATGGACTAATCCCATTGTGAAAGAGAAGACCTGTCCACCTCCTTGAGGGCTCTAGGCAAGTGTATAGGCAGGGAGAGAATGTGCTCAGAATGGTCTTTGTATGCTAACTGCTCAGACTTTGCCTTCTCTTTGACTGCAGGACAACAAGGTTAATGGTGTAACCTGCTGTACTCGGATGCTAGGCTGCACGTACTTGCATCCTTGGATCCTGCCCAAGCCTCACGTCTACTCCATTCCTCTGACTGTGCAGGATGAGATGCTCCTACTGGGGAACAAAGCCCTCTGGGAACACCTCTCTTATACAGAGGCTGTCATGGCTGTACGCCACCTGCATGACCCACTGGCTGCTGCAAAGAAGATCTGCACTTTAGCCCAAAGCTATGGCTGCCAAGACAATGTGGGAGCAATGGTGGTGTGTTTGAACATTGGTGAGGACAGCTGCACATGTGAGATGCACGGCCTCACCTTGACGGGCCCTGGGGGGGTTATTTCCACTGCCAAACCAGCAACACCTTCCTCAAGTAGCGGAATTGCCTCAGAGTTCAGCAGTGAGCTGTCAGCCTCAGAAGTTAGCAGTGAGGTGGGATCCACTGCGTCCGATGAACACAGTGGTGCTGGTCTGGATGCAGGGTTGGTGCCTCGACCCGAGCGACGCTGCAGCCTCCATCCTGTGCCCCCCTCCAGCATCTTTCAGCGCCAACCTTCCTGTGCCACATTCTCTAGTAATCAGTCTGACAATGGGCTGGACAGTGATGATGAGCAGCCTGTGGAGGGTGTGATGACGAATGGCAGCAAAGTGGAGGTGGAAGTGGACATCCACTGCTGTAAAGGAAAAAGCCTGGAGCCTGTGCCTCCTGGTGCTGAGGAGGGATCTCCTGCTGCAGGCTCAGAGGATGACTCTGGGGGGCTCTTCTTCAGGATTCGGAGACAGAACAGCATGAACAGCAACATCCTCCTGGCAGGAACCAAGGAGAGGTGCGAGTTGCAGAAGTCTCCTTCCACATGCTGTCTCTATGGGAAGAAGCTTTCCAATGGCTCCATAGTGCCTCTGGAGGAGAGCCTCAACCTTATTGAGGTAGCCACAGAGGTGCCGAAGAAGAAAACAGGTTATTTTGCTGCTCCTACCCAGCTGGAGCCAGAGGATCGATTTGTTGTGCCCCCTGACCTGGAAGAGGAAG